AAATTTAAATACTTCTAAACTTTTTTCAACTCTAAAAAGTTTCAATAAAGTTAGAAAAAATATCCAAGGTGTTTTGTATCTAGTTTTTTTCAGAAAGTAGCGGTTTTTGTTGTTGTTTGAAGCGAACGTATTAGTGTGTGTAAATGTATTTTGTAAAAGAGTTGCCCGCCTTAGGATAATATACTATATGAAAATACAATGACGTAAACATCGGAATCTGCATGTATAATGAGCTACACAAATAAATCGCTTGATAGCAAATTGAGACGAACTTTATACGTATTTTTAAGCGTTTAATGCATTTTTACACATTTTGCTGGGCTGCCTATGATAGTGGCCAAAAAAAAAACAACACGAAAATAACATCACTTGAAAAACGCCAATTTATTTATGTTTAAAAGCGACTAAAACAAGGACTAAAAGCTCAGGATCAATAACAATACCTAGGGTTTAGTACAACATAAATTTTGGGACTGTCGAAATGTTTTATAGTATATATTTTTGAGTTGAACGGCGAGGTTTCCTTCGGCACGTCCAAACTTTCGTCATTTTTTCAAAATACAAAAGCAAAACTCCTTACTTTTTGCTGCAGAGAGATGTTAAAACAGTTGGAACTAATCGGAAAACCTGGTTTAAATCCCAATCATTGTTGTATTCCCATGGAAAAAGTGTTTTTCTTGCAAATTTTTGCTCGAAAACAAACTTTTGGCAGAATTTTTTTCACTCCTCGAAACTCTCCTTAGTCTTTTTGAAAGCTGATTTTCCCGCGCGCCGGCTTTAACTAATCATAGACTTTCATCATAGGAGTTAGCCTTCCAGTTATTATTAGAGTTCACTGGGTCATCCTCACTGATCTCAAAATATGTAGCGGACTGTCGTGAATAGTGAACACTTTTTGGTCAAATTTGAAATTTGCATTACAACACAGAATAGAAAATAGACCAGAAGCCTCACTCAGCCAAAATTGTGTCCGAGATTTTTTATGCGCAAGCGCGAGCCAGCAAGTGTAATCACGACGCCATCAAACGCGAGCAACGCCATCAATTGCCATCACTAGGTAATAAAGATTGCTGTTTTAACCGTTTTTAAATGCCACAGGTCCAAATAATGGGTCATCGCAACAGGAAGACACAACGTAAAAAACAAAAGCGTAAAATATTTGCACAATAATTGCAGAATATGCAGCGTACACTTTGAGCATGTTTTTCGAATTTCAAGAAAAACCGTTGATTTGAGGACTTGACGCTGACGAACGCTGACGTGATGTTCGCAGCAAGTGCATTGAACTATAAATAACTGGAAGGCTAAGTCACAGAATAGGAAGTTATACCAGAAGCGTAACTCGAGCAAATATTTGTCCGCGTTTTTACAAGCGATTCGTCATCAATCACGCCATCCTGGCTAGTACAACCGGCACTTTGTACCTTCCAAATCCTGATAAAAACTTCCGGCTGTACTAGCCAGGATGGCGTGGCCTGACGTGGACGTCAAACAATAAGGGAAACGACTAGAGTTACGCTTCTGGTATAACTTCCTATTCTGTGGCTAAGTCAGGGGGGGAAGTTGAAGCCGTGCTTGAAGCTTTTTTGTAGGTAGACCCAGTCAAAGATTAGATACTATAAAGACGTGTCACTCTGCGAAAATTATGTCCGAGATTTTTTTATAGCCGCCATTTTGTCAGTAAGTGTCAAATTCAACGCCATCAGTCTCTTAAATAGTAAAATTCAACGCCATCAGTCTCTTAAATAGTAAAATTCAACGCCATCAGTCTCGCCGCCATTTTGGCAGTAAGTGAAAATTACGGACACGCAAACATTAGGGAAATACGTCGAGTGACACATCTTTATAGTATCTAATCTTTGACCCAGTCCTAGCCATTGAACTATAAATAAACTGGAAGGCTAACTGCTATGATGAAGGCCTATGATTTGATGAAGCCAAAATAGTTTTTCTGAGTTATGAGCAGAAATACTTGACCCCAAACGTCGGGCTATATATCAAATTGAAGCTATTAAAAATTGCTATTCGGTGTGGAAATTTCAAGACTTCAGCGAAAAGAAAAATATTTAAAAAATACGAAAACAACTGCAAAACGGCAAATTATCGGTAATTATGTTTGTAGTTTTTCAATATTTCCCTTTTAGTTAAAGTCTTGAAATTTCTACACCAAATAGTGTTTTTCAATAGCTTCAATTTGATATATAGCCCAACGTTCAGTGTTGAGTATTTCTGCTCATAACTCAGAAAAACTAAAATGCACTGGCTTCAATTTCCCCCCCCTGAGTTAGCCTTCCAGTTTATTTATAGTTCAATGGTCCTAGCCATTGAACTATAAATAAACTGGAAGGCTAACTGCTATGATGAAGGCCTATGATTTGATGAAGCCAAAATAGTTTTTCTGAGTTATGAGCAGAAATACTTGACCCCAAACGTCGGCCTATATATCAAATTGAAGCTATTGAAAATTTCTATTCGGTGTGGAAATTTCAAGACTTCAGCGAAAAGAAAAATCTTTAAAAAATACAAAAACAACTGCAAAACGGCAAATTATCGGTAATTATGTTTGTAGTTTTTCAATATTTCCCTTTTAGCTAAAGTCTTGAAATTGCTACACCAAATAGAGTTTTTCAATAGCTTCAATTTGATATATAGCCCAACGTTCAGTGTTGAGTATTTCTGCTCATAACTCAGAAAAACTAAAATGCACTGGCTTCAATTTCCCCCCCCCTGAGTTAGCCTTCCAGTTTATTTATAGTTCAATGGTCCTAGCTAACCCAGTCCTTTTTAAAATTTTTTTTCAAAATATGCACAATTTTCGATCAGAAAAATCTTGCCCCAAAATATTAGTTATACTACCAAATTTAATTTATATCAGTAGTATTATAAATGAATTTAATATTCGCAAAGCAAACAAATCACGAATTAGCAAAAAAATACGAAAAACACGGCCATAAGCATGAACGGTCAGAAAAACCGCGCGTTTTAGGCTGCTTTTTCTGAGTTTTTGGAAGTTTAAGATAAAACTAAGACGTCATACCTCAGGAATTATTTAAACCCATGCAAAATACATCTGTGTGCGAAGTTTCAAGAAGATTGAACGTTTTAAGGTCGAAAAAAAAAGCATTTGAAAATTGACAAAAATATTGCCATATTCAAAATGCTCATAGTGGCCAACAAGATGCCGATGACGAAAATAACATCACTTGAAAAACGCCAATTTATTTATGTTTAAAAGCGACTAAAACAAGGACTAAACGCTCAGGATCAATAACAATACCTAGGGTTTAGTACAACATAAATTTTGGGACTGTCAAAATGTTTTATAGTATATATTTTTGAGTTGAACGGCGAGGTTTCCTTCGGCACGTCCAAACATTCGTCATTTTTTCAAAATACAAAAGCAAAACTCCTTACTTTTTGCTGCAGAGAGATGTAAAACAGTTGGAACTAATCGGAAAACCTGGTTTAAATCCCAATCATTGTTGTATTCCCATGGAAAAAGTGTTTTTTTTGCAAATTTTTGCTCGAAAACAAACTTTGGGCAGAATTTTTTTCACTCCTCGAAACTCTCCTTAGTCTTTTTGGAAGCTGATTTTCCCGCGCGCCGGCTTCAACGAATCATAGACTTTCATCATAGGAGTTAGCCTTCCAGTTATTTTTAGAGTTCACTGAGCAAGTGTCACACACGTCATCTAGCGTGCGCAATTCGTGGTCCGCAAGGCCATAGATAATCTATGGCAAGGCGAAAATCGCGGACACGAAAATGTTAAGGAAAGGTGTACAGTGAGGCTTCTGGTCTATTATATATTCTATGATTATAAAGACTGCATTGACGACCGCGAAATAACAAACATTTCTTGCAAGTTGTATATTTGCAAGATTTTGTAAATTTCAAAACCTTTCTGAGAGCCAGAAGACGTCTAAAAGAATGGAGCAAAGTCGCCGACGTCAATGGAGGTAAGTTTGTTTTAAATATTGATGTATTGTTTGTTTTATAATTAAATACGATCGTTGCGTATATAAGTGAAAAAAGACAGCATATAATTTCAGTGTAGTTTTATTAATTACCCTTTCTTTTATATTAAAATATTTAAATAAAGAGGAAAGCAAAGTTATTTTCATGCGAGAATTTGAAATCAGTTTATTTCAAACTTAATGTTTTATACCGATAATTCGATAAAAGGCCGTTTAGTTTTAAGAACATTTTAAAACGTTTTACGAAGTGTTTGTGGTTGAATTTTACATTAAATTGAAGCTTATATTACGTATTACAATAACATACTTAGCATATATATGTTTGGGAAATTGATAATTTTGTTCTAAAAGTGATATTTTGGCCTTTTGGGGGGATTTTTCAATTTTAAAACTATTCTTAAAATTATCGTGTTACCATGACAACTACTTTCAATTCTTCATATTCAGAAAACATAATGATTAATAGTTTTGTCAGTAAGACGAGGGTTTCTGCATGCATGTATTTTCTAGTTATTAAAATTATCGACATTCCTCATGCAAGTTAATTAGTTCCTTACCAAATTGACAGTCCTCGGATATTTCTCGACCAATTAACGGAACGGATGGTATATAGCGTAATGTCTCCTAAAATGAGTATTGCAAAGGTAAACAACTAACAATTACACATGCCTGATCTGCAGAGAATTTCCTGTTGTATGTACAGTATAGCAATTATAAGAATTATCTGCAGACAAGCAGTCTGACGTCAATCAAGATGAGAATTGGTAAAAAGTGCAAACTAATGTAAATAGCCAATAGCATACCTTGATCACACACTCTAAATAGTGCAGTTCTTTCAGTCGATCAGCAGTTACGGCATTATCACCAACACTTTCTGTAATACGACGATAGAGTGGTAAAGTCAGATAATTAAGATTTGCTTTCACTATGAGATCTCGAAAGTAGTTAGCTCTGCCTTTGTCACTAACAGCACTAATCAGAAAAACTAAGAAAGTGTACAAGCAATGGTAATTGAGGAGGTAATTGAACGAGTGTTTGAACATGCAGAAAGTTTTTTGAAACTTTGTTGGAAATAATTAATCAATGGAACAAACATACTCATATTAAAACGAGGTCATAAAAATGTAATTATTTGTTGTAGTAAATAGTACTAAAGTCTAAATACTGAAAGCTCCACCTCAAGTACTTAAGTAATACTTCACGCTCATTACCTACGCATTGTCATGCATTAGAGCAGATAATTGATAAGCGATGTTTCAGACTCTTCACAAACTTACACAATAACTTAGGAGCCTCCAACTATGTACTGCATATCAACAATAACATTATCAACTAATATACGTTTATAAAAAAACACTATTCTGATTTTTCCCAGGTCGTTTAATGAAATGACTACTTTCTCATAAGATTTGCAAGTATGCTTCATGATTAATACACTCCAGCTTGCACCCTTGAGATTTTAATTGGTTTCGAACTTTTTACTGTACAATTTTAATATTTATATTATCCGCTAGATTTGAATTTTTACATGCAGCAGTCTTACCATAAAATCTGTCAACTTCATTCTGCAGCTGAGATTGAACATCCGGGTATTTTCCTATCATGTGAACTGCCCATTGTAATGACGATGCCGTTGTATCGTGACCCTAGATAATGGTTGAATTTCGTTTTAATGGTATTTTTCCAGGGTGTATATATCCCCAAAGAGAATCGAAACTCCAAAAATATTATTCTGTCATCACAAATAGTCAAAATCGACTATGACAAAATACACATTTCGAGTTGATTAGACTCCTTGAAATTTACGTGCATGTATGATGATGATAAGTATAAAAATTTTATATCTAAACTGCAAAAATGAGCGTTTTTCAAACAATGAGCGTTTTTCTTATGTGCAAGTCTGTTTAACAAATAGATAAGATTTTGCCGTTGTCCATTCAGTTATAGATACCCAGTATGACGTCATAATGTAGGAAGCACAAAAAAGTGCCCCACGAGCCGCCGAGGCGAGTTAAACACCGAAATAAACAGGCCAAATAGCTTACTTTTTATCCACCCAAACATTTGGCAATTTGAAAAAGTCGAAATTTTACAAATAAGGGAATGTTATTGGCTACCAAGATTGTGACGTAATTAATTCCGTGCGTCTGTCCTCTAATAGATCATGGCTCTCGACTAATGAAAGCGCTTGAATTCTTAACGTTATTATATAAATATATATACCTGTTCTTAGCTGTACATGTTTATATCAATTTTACCTTGTTTCATTTGTCTTACTTTTTTGCAAGGTTATACATTTTCCAACCCATTTCTAACCTGCAATCTGTTATTCACGTAAATTCTATCCGGAATATTTGAAGAAAACTAATTGTAATAATAATAATAATAATAATATTTTATATTTATACAGGAATGCCTATATTCAGTGAAAATTCACTGTTATCAACTAGGGTCCTGTCGGAAGGTTAAAAATTGTTCTAAAAAAAGTTACAGTATATACATGTATATAAACTATGCTATCCTAATGGGGGTATATACAGAATATAAAAATATGTAAAAAAGCACATGATTCAAATATTTAAGAAATATTTAAAAAAGCTTGTAGTCTCGCGTTAAAATCGTTCAAAGTCTCTGCTTTTCTTATGTCTATAGAGGCAGTTCATTATATGTTTTTCCACCAAGGAAATAAAAGCCATTTTTGGCAGATTTGAGTCGAACTTCAGGCAGTCTGATTGACATTTTATTGTTGCGGGTTCCATGTTCACCATCAATGATTTCAAAATATTTGTCAAAGCTTTCACCAACATCATTTTTAATGCATCGAAATGTGAGGCTACAAAGTTTCTTCTTTTGAAGATCTCGAATTCGAGAGATCTTTATTGTGAGCTTTGAAGGATCTTCGTTTTGAAAAACAATCCGCCGGGCTTCGCATTCAAAGTTTTCAAGTTGTTGCTGCCTCGTCATCGTTGATCAAGGGTTAACTGATGAACAATACATTGTAACAGGGAGTATCATAGCATTGTACATTGTTGCAGCAGCTCTCATTGTCATCGATTTTCATATTTTCAATAGCAGTTTAAGTCTTCCATGTGACCTTTTATAAATCTTGTTGAAGTGTTCTGCCAAGTTTAAAGTTTGATCAAGGAGAACACCGAGGTAAGTATATGAAGTTGTGTAATTCACCAACGTATTATTGTACATTATGTTCAACTCATGTTCTTTAATCTTGGACAAGTTTCTCCCAGTGCCGAACAGCATACATTCAGTTTTGCCTTTTTTCAGGTTCACGATCAGTTCGTTCTTCTCAAACCACTCCGATACATGTGACATGTCTTTAGTTAGCTTTTGTTTTATGGTTTTAACATCTTTGTGAGCATAACACAAAACGATATCGTCAGCATACATTAGAATTTTTCAGTTCTTTACCGGGAGACAAACACCATTAAAAATCACCATTTTAAATCATCGTATTTTGACCGTATAGTTAAACCATGGAATATTGTTTGTAAAGAGGTTAATCCTGAAACTTTCCCCAGCCCCATCTCTTTTAGAAACTTTCTCAAACTCAAATACTCTCACCTTGTTCACACAGTCTACGATGTTCAATTACCCTGTACCTGGTCCTTGGTTCGGGACTGTCCCTGTCATAGGACTTAAGTTTGTGTGCGTGTGTTGTGTTGTGTTGTGTTGTGTGTGTGTGTGTGTGTGTGTGTGTGTGTTTATCTCTGCGTGTGTGTGTTTGTCGACACGTCTCTCATTCTTTCTCTGTTTGTACACCTCTTTCAGTTCTTTCTTCTCTCTCGTACACTCCTTCATAGTAATTTTGGTAACATATATATATATATATATATATAGCTTAAGATTTTGGTTTACGAAACACAAACAGTGCTCAATACCATATAGATAGAGCGTAATATAGTTTCTCGTTTTACCTCAAAAAACCACAACAGTCTGTTTCATCCGTATAGGAATCATCAGGTGGTGAATAATTTCGAAATTGTAGGTTGCTTTTATGCTATCGATAGCATATCATAAAAGCAACCTACAAAGCTATCGATATCGATAGCATAGCATAAAAGCAACCTACAATTTCGAAATTATTCACCACCTGATGATTCCTATACGGATGAAACAGACTGTTGTGGTTTTTTGAGGTAAAACGAGAAACTATATATATATATATATATATATATATTTTTTTAATAATTTGTGACTTCGCTGGCAGGTGCCTTGCATGGGACCAATTTCTAGAGTCCCGTTCGTACCTTGCCATTTTGGATCACTCGCTAATATATAGTATAGCTATCCAATTATTTCTATATATAGTCTTTTTTTTCCGGTTAGTGAACTTATATTGTAATAATTTGATCCAAATAAATTTGTTAAAATAAATAAAAATAAAGAAATAGTAGGGGACCCAAAATAGAGCCCTGTGGGACTCCACAAAATACAGGGTTGACATCAGAGGTACGCCCACCAAACACAACACACTGAGTGCGACCAAAAAGATAATTTGTGAACCATTCCTTCTCAACATCAGTTATACCATATTCAAGGAGTTTACATGCATGCTATAGAACTGTGACTAATAGTATCAAAAGCTTTGCGTAGGTCGACAAAAACTGATCCACATAATTTACCCAAGTCCATTTCCTTACGAATGTTATCCAAAAATAATGTTGCAGCAAGTTCCGTTGAGTGGTTTTTGCGGAAACCAAATTGTTGATTTGATAAAAGCTTATTTTGTTCCAAGTAGAATATCGTTTGGCTATACACACATTTCTCGAGAACCTTCGAAATTGTTGGTAATATAGTCAGGGACGTCGCTATAGGGGTGGGGTGGGGGGTGGGGGTATAACACCCCCCCAGTAATTCAAACGTTGGTCAAAGTTGGTCAAAATGGAACTGATATTTGCTTAAAATTGAAGGTAAAACTCGGAAAAATTTGGTAAAAGTTTGGGATATAAGATGGTCGAAGAAGTTAAAATTAATGAAATGGTTCGCACTTTTAACAATTTTAAAGCTTCAGTTGGTCAAAACATGACGACCCCCC